ACACGGATCCACAGGGATAGAGAGGACAGGCTCCAGAGGATCTGGTTGCTGTGGGAGCCAGGGGAGGGAGGTGTGAGCCCCTCGGAGCCCCTGGCACAGCGCAGGGGTCCCTCCTGATGGATGCTGGCAGCTGCCTGGCAGAGCTGCTCTGCAGCATCGCTGGAGCCTCAGCACCCCCTCCTCTTCGGCTGCTTCCAAAAATACCGGCCAGTGTCTACCAGGAGCGGGGTGCCAGACGGGTCTGGAGCTGTGCTGGTGCTGGCTGGTGCTCACATCTGCTGGGCCACCTGCCTGAGCCACTCGGGGAGCAGGGAGAGAGCTGAGCCTCGCCTTCCTTCCAGCCCCACAGCGAGCTCTGCACAGGAACATCCACAGAATCATGGAATAACCGTGGTTGGATGGGAACAAACCTTCTAGTTTGGGTTTTTCTCCATCAAGTCAGGGGTTTGCACCGAGTAATTTGTGTTTTTGAAGGGTTGCAGGTAATGAATGCAGCAACCGCAGGCTCAGCGCTTATCTCACTCAGGCATTCAGGCACGCCCTGCTCTTTGCTGCAGGGATCTGCCCCTGCCTGCCTGCCGAAGAAAAAACCCATTTCCCATCATTTTTCCCTCCTCCCTTTGCTGTATCTCATTTTTTTTGCCTCAGGGCTGCAGATTGACACATGCTGGGAGACATCAGTGCCTTGCAGCCGAGCTGCAGGGGCAGCAGGACCCGCGTGGGGAGGGGATGAGCTGCTGCAGTTTGGGGTTTGCAGCCTGTCAAATCTTCCTGGCAGATTTTAAATGAAGTTTTGCTGATGTGAGAACAGATGGGGCGAGGAAAACAGCACCCACGTGCTTGCTTTTAAGCAAGGGAAAGGAACTTCATTTCCTCAAACCTCATCCCTGGGGTGTTTGTCCAGCTCGTGTCTTTACCCCATCTCTGACTGGGGTACCAAGCTGGGGACAGAGCCTCTCTGTGTTTTCATAACCTTGGAGCCCATTTTCAGTGTCATTTCCAACCAGCCAGGCAAGGAAGTGACACTGGTGTCACGGCAAAGAGAATGTCAGGCCCAGGCTGGGATTTTGGGGTGTCCTGTGTGGGGCAGGGACTGGAGTCAGTGATCCTGGTGGCTCCCCTTCAGCTCCATGATTCTGTGATGGATCTGTGGTAGTTCCAAAACTGAATCCCAGTCTGGTCCAGTGAATACCAGCTGCTCACTGGGAGGTTTAACCATGATGACAGAGCCATGGGAACTTCTGCTCCTTTTCCCTTGGCAAATGTATGGATTTCTTCACAGGCATGAGAAGCCCTGCTCCACGGGCCTGGCACAGCCTTGTGCTGCAGACAGTGCTGGAATAGAGAAGTGTCCTGCAGAAAATGGGTTGGGATAGGGAATTACATAACTTGGCTTTGCAGGTGCCTTTGTCCCCCAGGTAACTTCAGGCTGCTGCCCTCCCCGCTGTTAATAACCCTAAATCTGTCTGTGTGTAAATTCCCAGTGCTCCCAGGTGAGATGGGAATGGTGACTGCTGTCCCTGGGCAATATTATGTGTATAATGACATGTGGCTGGGGGAGGCTGAGGGCCAGGAGCCCGAGTGACACAGCTCTCTGTCCCTGCCACGAGGGAGCCCGAGTGACACAGCTCTCTGTCCCTGCCACGAGGTGTCCACGGCAAAGAGAGGTCTCAGTTCCACGGCTGCACAGCCCAGCTTCCCTCTCTGCTGAGGAATAAATGCAGTTTATTCTGGGGTGTGCTCCTGTGCCAGCAGGCTTTCCTTTCAAGGGCTCTCTGCTCATGTTGAAATGGCAGCAGGAGCTCCTGAAATAACTTTGGTCAGGGGCCAAATTGGTTAAAATTGGTTCAAACAGGTTAAAGTGTGTGAGGTTTGCTGCTCCTGCATGAGCAGAGGCTGCTCAGGAGCTGGGTCAGAAGGCCAGGGCAGGAGGAGAGAGGCACAAACCTGCAGAACTGTCACACTCGGGCACTTTCAAGTCGTTCTTTGTGGACTTTCCCCCTTCCATTTATTTCTGACACATGACTCTATCTGTCTGAGCACAGCAGTTTTCCCTCTCACACAACTGCGTTGTGAATTATCTCTCAAAAGTCTGGAATGAATTTCCCTTAGTGCCAGAAGCTCCATAACCCACATTTTGGGTGGCTCTGGAGCAGCTTGGAGGCGCAGGGGGCAGAAGGGATTTCCCTGCAGACCCACAGCCTTTTTCACCTTCCTGAAAAGCCAAACCCAGCGCAGTTCTCTGCCTGGCAGGGAGGGGAGGATGTGCTGGGAGCCAGCGCTGCCCCTGGGGCACATCCCAAAATCTTCCATTTATCCCTTGGTGCTGCAGCCCTCGTGGGCTCCAGGGATCCACTGAGCCCAGTTTAAAAAAAAAATAATGGGAAAGAGCTGGGAAAAGGTAGGTGCTGGTAAATCCTCATTTTGGGCTGTCATTTTTGGTAATTCCCTCTGTCCCAAGGAACTTTGAGACACATAGTCAGTGTTGGTAAGAGCAAGTCCTGCTGTTGTGCAATACAGGGGTTTCACAATTTACTCTGAGGACGTGCAATGAATTTGGTTTCCAGTGTTAATTTTAGTCTTAATTTAAAAACTGAGGGGAAAAAGATAAAAAAAAGGAGATTTTTGCACCCAGCCCAGCCCTGGGCTGCCTGGGAAGGGTTTGTCTCGTGCAGTTGAAGCTTCATTTTGACTCAGCACCACTTTTGCAGTGGGGCTGTTCTGGCTGCTGGAGAGCCCCGCTGTCCCTGGCTGTGGGAATGAGCTCATCAGTATGCACGAGTCACTCCTAATGAATAATTTAGCTGAGATTAACCTTTCCCCTTGCAGAAAACTTTCCTTTCTCCTTTGCTAAGCACAGCCAGGACTGGTGGGAAGTTTAATCACTGTTGGCAATTGTTCAGTAGATTATTTCTGTGGATAATTCCTGCAGCTCCCAGACAATTTGCTGCTCGTGGCCATTATCTGAAATGAGTTCTGCCTAGTCCTGATTAAATTATTTGTGATTCTCACTGGTAGAGCCAGGGAAATTGCATGATTATATATTTTCAGCGCTATGTTTGCTTACTTTGCGATATTGTTATAAATATTGTCGTTTGCCAGCTCCTGTGCTGGGGTATTTATAGACAGAGAACATAAAGATTGTGGAAAATATGGAAAGAGATGGGTTACAAGTGAGGATCTCACTGTGCACCGCAGGGAAGGGTTCCCAGGCCTGGGACAGAGCAGACTCAGGTCTGGGCTGTGTTAGGAATGAAAGCACAGATTAATTTTTGTAAACCACAAATTAATTATTAAAAGGGAAACCGGAAATTGTGGAGTCACCGTGGCCCAGCAGCTGCCACCTCCTGCACAGCCCCGTCCCTTCCCTGGCCCTGTTAGTGAAGGGTTTGGGCTGGATTTGGCTCCTCTGTTTTAAGCCCCCGTGGCAGGTTTTGGCACGAGGTGGCTGTGAGGTGGCTGTGAGGTGGCTGTGAGGTGGCTTTGAGGTGGCTCTGAGGTGGCTCTGAGGTGCTGCTCGTCCCTTGTCACCCCGTGTCCCTGCTCAGTCACTGAAAGCTGATTCCCCACCGGGGTCCCAACGTGCCTCTGGTGTCACCTAAAGCCACCGCAGCCCTGCCAGCCTTGCAGAGGGGATCTCATTGCCTTCCCTGTGCCAGCTGTGCCCCTGCCAGGCCCAGTCCCCTCCTGTGCCCCAGGCCCACTCTGCACCCAGGGTGACCTTTCTGAGCCCTCAGGGCTGGCTCCTGCCTTCTCTGGCAAACTCTGCTCCATCCTCCCTAATCCCTCAGAGCTCTGGGATGTGTCAGTGTGACAGACGTGTCCCACTGCTCCATTTGGGAGGCTCCTCTGCTGCTCAGGCCACTGACAGCTCAGAATCCCAGAAGGTTTGGGTTGGAGGGGACGATGCAGTTCCAGTGCCCTGTCACGGGACACCTTCCACTGTCCCAGGCTGCTCCAAGCCCCATCCAACCTGGCCTTGGACGCTTCTGGGGATGGGGCAGTTTCTCTGGATAACCCATCTGCCACCAGGCTGGAGGTGCTGAGCCCTTCACGTCATTCCCTGAGCAGCATCTTTCCCCTCTCAGTGGTCTCTGCAGTCCCTGGTGTTTGCTCCACTCCAAGGGCTTCAGTCGGGGCCTCTCTGTATCCCCCCAGGATGCTGATGTAGGTTCTGGCATCATCTCCTCATTCCCCATCATCTCCTCATTCCCCATCATCTCCTCATTAACACATCATCTCCTCATTCCCCATCTCTTCATTCCCCATCATCTCCTCATTCCCCAACTCCTCATTCCCCATCATCTCCTCATTCCCCATCTCCTCATTCCCCATCCCCCCAGGCCCTGCCTTTCCCCACCTTGGCCTCTCCTGGGTGTTTCCATCCCGGTTTCCTGGTGGTCCTTGCCCAACCTGCTCACCCACCCGAGCCTGTCTCTCCCCTTGGCTGCTGTCCAGCCCTTCCCCGCTCCCGGCTCTTGTTCAGTCTCTTTCCTGCTGTTTTCTGCCGTGTCTGAGCCGGCTCGGGAGCCCCGCGGTGGTGGCTGCTGGTGGCTGCAGGGAGCGTTGCCTGGTTAGTGACATTTTGGGTATTTGTTTGCTCCCGGGGGACAGTTTTCTCCCGTCCCCACGTTCCCCGTGCTAAATCCCTGTTTACTCCTTGGGTTACTTGCTCAAGTGAAGGGCTGAACTTTGAGCCACTCGACTTCCCACCCCCTGGCTTCTCACCCACTGCTTGCTCCTGCTCTGCTCCCGGGGGAGAGCCCTGGGGGCCGAGCATCGCCCCGGGCCCTTGGATAGGAGAGAAAGGCTCTTCTGTTCAGCCCCTCGGCTGTGTGGAAAGGGCAAACCAGTCCTGAAAACTGCAAAGGGCTTCCTATCAAGTGTTGGTGTTGTAGAAACCAGGGGGGTCACTTAAAAAACCACAATTTTGGTGGTTCGCCAAAAATCTGTTAGTCAAAAGCATTTTGTGTTTAGCTTTTAGTCCATAAGACCTTGAGCTGTGGTTTTTAATAAGGTGTGGAGGGAAGCACTTGAGGTCTGTGTGTTGTCAGTCTCACTGTGGCCCTTCAGCTCTCTCTAAATGAGCTGTGCTGATGCTCTTCGGTCCTTAACGAATCCACCCCGCCTTTCCTCATCCCTGAGGCCTTTCCCTCCCCGGTGCTGGGATGGTCACTCCCACTGTCCCTTCTCTTGCAGTGGAGCATGAAATGCTGCAGGTGTGACTCGAGGCTGCCCCACAGCTACAGCGGGCACCGCGTGGAGAACGTGCTGTCCTCGGCCGGCCGCGCGCGCTGGTGGCAGTCCCAGAACGGTGAGGGCCACCGGGGTCACCCGGACACAAACTGCTGCCAAAAACCCGCCGAGGGCAACAGGGAATTGCTGAGCTCCGTGGATGGGGGGGAAAGGAGGAAATGACCGGCCTGGCCGGTTATTGTCCCCACGTCCCCGGTGACAGAGCCTCTCTGTGCCCGCAGGTGTCGAGCGCGTGTCCCTGCAGCTGGACCTGGAGCAGATGTTCCAGCTGGACGGCGTCGTGCTGCACTTCAGGGTCGGTGTCTGTGGGCAGCTCCTGTGCCCGTGAGGTGCCAGCCCGAGGTGCCAGCCCGAGGTGCCAGCCCGTGTGTCTGTCCCTGCCCGCAGTCGCCGCCCGCAGCGATGCTCTTGGAGCGCTCGGTGGATGCCGGCAGGACGTGGCAGGTGCTGCAGTACCTGGCCTCCGACTGCGCCGCCGCCTTCCCCCACGTGCCCCGCGGCTCCCCCGAGGGCTGGCAGGACCCCCGGTGCCAGGAGCTGCGGGGGCACCCCCTGCATGGGGGCACGGTAAGGACTGGGGGGTCATGGCAGGGACCCCTCCTGGGGCCCTGGGGTTGGGTAGGGGGTGCTGCAGGAAACGAGGGGGACTGGGAACCTCAGACACCTGGTGAGGGATGGAGCCCGTGGCATCAGCACTGCTGAGGGCAGTCCTTGGGAAGATTCCTGCTCCTCTGGCAGGAAAGCCTTTGCTGCTCTGTGTCGGGAGAGGTGTTGTGTCCTTTGCAGCTCTAAGGGCTGTCCCTGTGTTTGGTGACATTGTGCAGAGGCCAGTCCAGAGCACGCAGTGCCCAGAGCAGGAGCAGAGAGCAGCTTGAGTTTCCTGCTTTTTAACCTGGTTTTTTTTCCCTCTAAGATGAAATTCAGTGTTCGAGACCTGGGGTCTACCATCAGCTCCTCTTACAGCCAAGCCATCGAGAGTAAGTGCTGGGCCTCCTCCAGGGCTGAGCAGGGAGAGGGGAATGAGGCTGCCCGTGGTTCTCCCTGCAGTGATGGGAAATGTTGAGCTGGGGTAACCCCTGGCACCCTGAGCTGCATGTCCAGGCTGGCAAGGAGCAGCTTTGGTCTTTGCTGATGGCTCAGCTGCTGCTCTTTGTGCCAATTCCCCCTTCCCTTCCTCCAAGCCCTCCCCACCAATTGCAAAGAGCTTCTGCTGGGCACCTGCTGCCCCTCACACCCGTCCCCTGTCCCCAACAGAGCTGGGGCCCTTCACCAACCTGCGCATCAACTTCACGGCGCTGCCCCACATCCCACGCCAGGGGTACCACTCGCCCAGCACCTTCTACGCCGTGACAGAGATGCAGGTGCTGGGGAGCTGCTTCTGCCACGGCCACGCCGAGCGCTGCACCCCTGCGGGGGACCAGCACAGCACGGTGAGCTCGGGCTGCTGGGGGCCCTGGGATGGCTCCACTGCCTGCCTGGGGGACACCTGGGCCACAGTGACCAGAAATGGGCTGTGGGAGGCTCTTCCATGGGCATGAACTGGAGAGGGATGGGGAGGGTGAGGCTCTGTCCTGCTCCGCTGGGTGGGTCACCCCTGGTCTGTGCCACAGGTCCCCGGGCACTGCGTGTGCCAGCACAACACGGCCGGGCCGCACTGCGAGCGCTGCGCTGCCCTGTTCAACGCCCGGCCCTGGGCACCCGCCGAGGACAGCGACCCCCGCGCGTGCCAGCGTACGGCCAGTGCTCCCCCCGACCCAAACCCTGCCCAGCCTTTCCTGGCTCTGTGGGGCTGGGAGGTGACACGGTGTCCCAGCACCGTTGCCTCTCAGTGCCCGGGCCCTGCTGGGGCTGTCACCGTGTCACACAGAGCCTTGGGCACCCTCTAGTGCCACCGCTGCTGCTGCCGGAGGGCTCTGCAGGGCGCCAGCTCCAGCTGAGCCGTGTTCTGGGATGTTTTAGGATGCGACTGCAATGGTCACTCGTCCTCGTGCCACTTTGACCCCGAGCTGTACCAGGCCAGCGGCGGGGCCAGCGGGGGGGTGTGTGACAGCTGCCAGCACAACACCGAGGGCAGCAACTGCGAGCGCTGCAAAACCAACTATTTCCGCAACCCGCGGCGGGAGCTGAGCCACCCCGAGGCCTGTCTGCGTGAGTGCCACCCCAAAGCCCCCCAGCACCTTCCCCGGGACCTGCCCCCTCAGCTAGGACATTTCTCCCGTTGGCAGCCTGTGAGTGTGACCCGGATGGCACCGTGCCCGGCTCCGTCTGTGACCCGGGGACAGGGCGCTGTGTTTGCAAGGACAACGTGCAGGGCGAGCGCTGCCACCTCTGCAAGCCGGGCTTTGCCCAGCTGGCCGCTGCCAACCCCGCTGGGTGCCGCAGTGAGTTCCCCTGGGACACCCCCCTGCCCCCAGGGTGCCCCCTCCCCACCTCTGACCCTTCCAAAAGGAACCCAGCTCCTGCCCCATTTTGGTTTGGGGTTTTCAAGTCAAAGGCTAGTTTTGTAAAGGTTTATAAAAGCTCCTTGTTTGGTCTGGGGTGGTTTCAGGTGTAAGTTTAGCCAAAAGCACAGGGCAGGTGTGGTTTGGGGGGATGCAGCTGTATCCTGGGTGCCCCCAGGGCTCAGGGGGTGATGCCCTGAGGGTCCCTGGGGCAATTGTGGGTCGGGGCACTGCTGTGTCCCCCTGGGCAGGGGATGCTGAGGCCCCTTGCTGTTCCTGCCCCAGCATTTGGGGGATGCTGTCAGAGCGAGGTGCAGATCTCCTGAGCGCAGGTGGGGAGGGAGAGGGAGAAGCCCCTCTTTGGGAGGCTGCTCCTGCCACACCAGCCCCTCCCTGTGGTAGGATGCACCTGCAATGCCCTGGGCACGCGGCAGGACACGGCGCCCTGTGACAGCGACACCGGGAGCTGCTTCTGCCTGCCCAACGTGGTGGGCAGCGACTGCGGGCAGTGCGCGGCCGGGCACTGGGGGCTGGCTGGAGGGCAGGGCTGCCGGCCCTGCGCCTGCCACCCCCGTGGTTCCCACAGCCCCAACTGCAACCAGGTACCCCCAGCCCCCGGGGCAGCCTCGGGGTGACTCCTCTTCCTGCAGCAGGCTTTCCTTTGCATTGCCCTCTGCTTGCTCTGCTCTTTCCCGACTCCACGCTGCTTCTGGGATGGGCTCTTGGGGGTTGAGCTGCACAGACCAGGGTGCCACGGCCACGGCTCTGTGTGCCCTCACTGGGGACCTGTCAGAGCATCAAACCCACCTGCAGGGTGGCTCCTTTGTCCTGTCCCATCCATAGGAGCCTTCACAAAAAGAGCCGTGTGTTCCCCAGTGCGTCCCACTCCTATTTCCCTTCTAATTCTTAGAAAACACCACGACAGACTGTTCAGGAAAATGAAAGAAGGTGGTAATTACTGAGGCAAGATTTAGTCACTTTAACAAGCCTGATATTTATCAAGGAAGTCCTAATAAGACATCTTCATACAGGCGAGGGAAGTTAATTATGCTCATTTGTCAATGAAAAGCATGTGTGCCACTTCAGGCTTAAGAGGCAACTGGGAAAATTAAAGTTAAATGTAAAAAACCCCAAACCATGACAAATTCCAAGAGCCTAAGATAGGTTCCAAACGAGCTCAGCGTGGGGAGGAGACCTGAGATGGCAAAGCAGCTGCTCGTGGGCGATTCTTTGTTTTTGAAACAAGGCTGAGCAGCCTCCTCGTGGTGCTGGGGCTGCTTGGAGCCTGTTTGCATCCTGTGCCTGAGCTGCAGCCTGGCACGGGCACACACTGAGAGGAGGAAATGGTCGGTGTGCTGGTGCTGGTGTCAAAAGCAGCTGGGGGAGAGCTGTGCCAGGAGAGTGCCCAGCAGTGGGTGTCCCTGATGTGTCCCCTCTCAGTTCACAGGACAGTGCCCATGCAGGGATGGCTTCACAGGACAGACGTGCTCGGCCGTGGGGCAGCAGCAGTGCCCACCCCGGCACTACAGGGATTCACAGGGAGGGTGCACAGGTACTGCTCCGGCCTGGGCTTTCCTCTGGGAGGTCACAATTACCTGGGAAAAGCTGGCCCACATCCTGACATGCCTGCTCCCATTGCTTGGCAAGAGATTTCCTCTTTGGAGCAGCCTCCCGGTTCACCTCCAGTGCCCACCAGTGCCCTCCCAGCAGCCTTGGGCGAGTCCTGGCCCACCCTGGGCTGGCCCTGTAGGGTCAGGGGCTGTGCCAGCTCCTGGGCCTGGGGCTCTCCCTGTTCCTCTGCCTGTGCCACCTTTGATGTGGGAGCTGGCGGGAGGGCATGGATGTCAGGTTGGGTTGGGATCTCATTAACTCTAATTAAAGGGTTGGTTTTATACAGATACAAAGTTATTCACCAGCACCTTCCCTCTCCCTCCGCCTTTCCCATTCCAGAGTGCGACTGTGACTTCCAGGGCACGGAGGAGCTGGGCTGTGACGCGGCCACAGGCCGGTGCCTGTGCCGGGCCGGGGTCAGTGGGCCACGCTGTGCCCAGTGCCAGCGGGGCCACTGCAGCCCCTTCCCCGGCTGCCAGCTGTGCCACCCCTGCTTCCACACCCACAGCGGGGACATCCAGCGCCTGCGCCAGCGCCAGGCCGGCCTGGCCAATGCCACGGCGCGGCTGCCCGCGGGCACGGGGGGCTCCCGGCTCGGCCCCCGCCTCTCACAGGCGCAGGAGAGCCTGCAGCGGGCACAGGGCATCCTCAGCCAGCCCTCGGGGACCCCGCAGGGCCTGGCAGAGGCGAGCAGCATGCTCGCTGCCATCAGGTGAGGAGGGTGCTGCCCGTGGGGCATGGCCCTGATCCGCGAGGAGCTGCTGGGGTTTCTCTGTTCCGCTGGTTCTGCTTTGTTCCTGTCCCTGCCATGCCTGGCTCTGCTCACGGGGGAGCAGGGAAGCAGCAGAGCAGCCTCTGAGAAAGCCTGTCCTGTGCACAGTGTCCCCGAGGCACGAGGAGTGTGGGCAGCCTGCATGGTGACACTCTCAGGGCTGTGTGGTGGCACTCAGGGCTGTGTGGTGGCACTGAAGGCTGTGTGGTGTCACTCAGGGCTGTGTGGTGGCTCTCAGGGCTGTGTGGTGACACTCAGGGCTGTGTGGTGACACTCTCAGGGCACATCCAGCATTCCTGGTCCCTGTGTGGGCACGGCCCTGCTGTGGAGGGGCTGCAGCCCAGCTCCTCTCTCTGCAAACCTGCAAGGCACTGGCGTGTCCCTTTGCCAGGTGCTGACAGTGCCCCAGCACAGATGGCCCTCTCGGCCCTGCTCTCTGGCTGCAGGTGCTTTGCTCTCTACCTCATTCACATTTTGTTCTTTTTCTGTCCCAGGGAGCAGGTCCGAGGCATAAATCCCGACCTTCATTTCCTGGATGACACTGCCTCTCTATCGAGGGAGCTGGAGGCCCTCAACAGCAGCTTGTTTGTCACCAGCTCCCAGTACCAGAGCAAGAAGAGCCAGTTTGAAACCAGCCGCAGCAGAGACGTGTCAGGTACAGCTCTGCAGCTGCAACATCTCTTGATTTGCAGCCATTCATTTACCTCAGTGTGGCTGCCTGGGGTTTCTCCCTGGCTGGGGAGATGAGAAGGGTTTTTTAAGGGTCAGCCTCAGAACAGCAAACAAATCTTCTCTCGCAGTGAGGGGAGGCTGCCCATGCAGGCTGCTCCATGACCCAGGCTTTCCCCCTCTCGGGGTGTGTGCTGCGGTGTTTTGGGGCCGTTCTGTGTTCCTGTTCCCCACCAGCACAATCTCTGCTGCCAGGGAGGGATGGGAAGGGGACAGCCCTGCAGGGAGAGCGTCACTGAATCCGTGAGGCACCGAGAGAGCGGAGGTTGTGCACAGATGGAAGGGATGGAGGGTGGGGAAGAGAGCCAGGAGGCTGTCAGGGCCTGGGGAGGAGAAGAGCTAATTAAGCCCTGTGCCAAGTGCTGGTGGTGGCTGCCATGAGTCCCTGCTCCAGCTGCTTCTCACTGCTGTCCCCTCCCCACCACATCACACAGCCCTGGGACCTGCCAGCCGTGCCCAGGGGCACCAGGACAGTTCACTCTGCAGCTCTGTCCGCTCAGAGCTCCATGTCCTGGCCGCCCTCCTTCCAGCCTGTGCTGGAGGGGAATGATGGGGCTGCTCAGGAGCTGGGAAAAGGCTCTGAAGTGTGTCCTGCCCTGCCAAAGCCCAGGATCAGAGTGTGTTTCTTGGCTGGCTTTCAGCCTTTTAACCCCAGCCCTGAGTTCAGTCCTTCAGGAGACCTTGAGCTCGCTGAGGGAATGGCTGAAAGGTGTTTGGAATTAAAAGGAGCTTTGGTGATGCCTTGGTGACTAATCCCTGGCTGCACCCTCTCCTGTGCACGAATGCATCCACGCAGGGCAGAGGCAGTGCCTCCCCGAGGGGCCGCTGCATTTGTGACTCATTTGTGCCATTTATCGCCTTCACTCCCGCAGGAGCCTTCCAGACCATCCGCTCTGCCCACCAGAGCTCCAGCAGCGCCGCCAGCCTGGCCGCGGGTGCCCCGGGGCTGCTGGCCCAGGCCAGGGAGAGCCGCCGCAGCGCCGTGGGGCTGCAGGGGGACCTGGCTGGGGACACAGCCAAGCTGCTGGCCCTGAAGGGAGAGCTGGCCTCAGCCCCCGACCTCACCCCTGTCATCAACCAGGTGAAGATGGAAAGCGGGTTTTGACCTTCCCACGGGGTGTGTCTGGTTTTCAGGGGGGCCCTGGAGAGCTCAGAGGCAGAAGCCTGGTCCTGCAGCCCTGGTCTCTCCTCAGCATGGCAGCACCGAGTCTCTGTCCAGACAGACTCGGCTGGAGAATTGGCTGAGGGGGTCACAGATCCCAAAGCTCTGCCCTCCACCCCCTCCCAGCCGTGTGCTTTTCCCTCCAGGGACTCATTCATGTCACTTCTTGTATCTCCAATACCCACTTAATTTCTGGATGAGGTTTCTCTTATTTCTCCTTCACTGCTTTGTTATTGCCATGGAGATCCATTTCGGTGTCTGTTGCTGTGGAGACCACCAGCCTCCCCTCTCTGCTGCTGGGGGCACCAGCACGTTCTGAGCCACCAGCCCAGCCTGGCTGTGCACGTGCCCCTGCTGCAGTGTGAGTCTGGGGGTAATTCTGCAGATGCCAGAGTTAAATCTGCCACTGCTCTCCAGGGCTGTCTGGTCCAGCTCTCCCCCAAAGCAAACAGGGCAGATGGGTTTTCTGCAGAGCTGTTTGCTCCACACAGCTGTGCTGTTACTCCTTGTGAGCTGCTGGGGCTTGGCTCCTGTTTCTGCTGCAGCTCGGGCTGGTGAGGCCATGCTGGCCCGGTGTCACTGGCTCAGGTGAGGGCATCCAGCACTGGCTGCCCTTCCCTGATGGTGGCACATCCATCTCCAGTGCTTTGGGCTGTGCCACCTGTGTCACTGCTGGGCTCCCTCCTGAGCCCACACAGCTCCTGCAGCTCCCAGCTCCCTTGGCAGTGTCTGCCATCCCCGTGGGGCTGGGTTTGCCATCCCCGTGGGGCTGGGTTTGCCTCCCTGTGGGGCTGGGTTTGCCATCCCCGTGGGGCTGGGTTTGCCATCCCCATGGGGCTGGGTTTGCCTCCCTGTGGGGCTGGGTTTGCCATCCCCATGGGGCTGGGTTTGCCTCCCCATGGGGCTGGGTTTGCCATCCCCATGGGGCTGGGTTTGCCTCCCTGTGGGCACCGAGCTGTGTCCAGCTGGGCACTGCCGGGCTGCAGCTCTCCTCTCCCTGCCCAGGTGTGCGGAGGGGCCCGAACGGAGCCGTGCACCCCTGCCCGCTGCCAGGGGCTGCTGTGCCCTCGGGACAACAGCTCTGGCTGTGGGGCTGGCCAGCCCTGCCACGGCCTCCTCCCGCTGGCCAGCGGGGCCCTGGCTGCGGCCGGGCGAGCGGCCAGGGAGTTCAGCAGCCTCAGTGCCCGGCTCCAGGACACGGCACAGCTGGTGAGTGTGGGCACTGCCCGTCCCCCTGCTCGGACCTCTGCTTACCACAGAGAGAGTGAGGAATACCCACCTCAAACTCTACTGGGGGCTTGATCCCTTGGGCAGCTTCAGAAATCCAGGGATTTGGGAGTGGGAGGGAATTTGTGTGTGGGTCCTGCCTCCCTGGCTGAGGGCATGTGAGTGGCACTGGACACACCACAGGGCAGCCTCTCTCCCTCCTGGGTTGGGATCAGAATGGCAGAAGGGCTGGGAATGTGGAAAACTCTCAGATTCTGCAGGGCATTTGATACAATCAGAAAGAGTTCATGTGTTAGGGCTCTTGCAGCTTCTTTCTGTGCCTCACAAAGAGAAAGTGAGCTTTCAAAGTAATTCAGAATCCATTTCAGAGGCGTTTTTAAAAGCTAAATGGTGCTGTCCATCTTTGAGAGTTTCCTTTGGAGATCCAACCCTCAGTCTTTAACATTTCCAGTCCTTTAAAGCTGGGAGAGCAGGGAGCAGCACGGAGCCTGGCCCAGGTCAGAGCAGAGGCTCTGGATGGAGCAGAGGCACCACCAGGCCATTGCTGTGTGCAGATTAAGACGACAGAGCTGTCAGCGAGTCAGATCCAGAGCAGCACCCGGCGGCTGGTGGAGCAGCTGGGGGTGACCAGGACGCAGATCCAGGGGGACGTGCAGCGTGTGCGGCAGCTCCTGCAGCGAGTGCGGAGCTTCCTGGCAGGTACCTCTGGCAGGCCAGGGCTGCAGCCTGCTTTGTGCATGGACACGGCTGCTGTTTGTACTGATCTGAGAAGCACTGAGCTTGGAAAAGGCCTCCAAGGTCACCGAGTCCCTGCTGTGCCCCATCCCTGCCCTGCCACCAGCCCAGAGCAGCAAGTGCCACGTCTGGGTGCTCCCTGGACACTCCAGGGATGGGGATTTGCAGCCAGCAGTGACCTGATGCACAGAGAGTTTCTGGCCACGCTCACTGATGCAGACAGACAGACAGATGACCCTTCTCTGGAGCAGGCTGTTAATCAGATGAGAATTCCTTGTTGTCCTACAAACTGATGGGAAGACTTATTGTCCACAGACAGATTGTAATAACATAATGAGCCTCCTGAGCATTAGCTGAAAAAGAAAACCAGGTCATTTGGTGCTGCCTGGTGTTAATGATGAGTGAAGATATTTCTGAGCTAATCGCTGGGCTAATGTCCCATGGGCTCTGCCTGCTTCTGATTTATTAACTTTTATTTGTGAAATGAAAAAAGGCTTGTCTTGAAACACACCCTCATCTGCTCAGTGAGGGCTGCCTGACTGCTCTGGGCTCAGCCATGGTGTTATCGTTGCCAAATTCAAGGTATCATTTCAGCTGTCTCCTGAAAGTTTTGCTGGTGTGAATGAGAGGTGTATGGAATTCAGGGAGGTTAATTCAGAAGGGATGCTGGCAGCTGTGTGGAACGAGATGTGTGCGGGATGTGCATGGGTGCCTGCCCTCCTCCTGCCTTGCACTCCCACCTTCCCTGAAGCTCTGTCCGCTGGCTCTGCAGACAAGGACACGGATCCTGCCGCTATCCAGGAAATCAGTGAGTCAGTTCTCTCCCTGCGGCTCCCCACGGACGCTGCTGCTGTCCGGAGGAGAATGACCGAGATCCAAAAGCTGGCGGTGGAGCTGCAGTGCCCGGAGGACATCCTTGCCCAGACGGCCGAGGACATCGCCAGGGCCAAGAGGCTGCAGCAGGAGGCAGAACAGGCCAGGTCGGTGCGGGGTCAGGGCCGTTGGCAGCTGAGGGTCCCTTGGCTGGGGTGGAACTGCTGGTTCTCAGCTGGCTTCAAATCTTGCTCTGCCCGAGCAGACTTGCACAAGCTGAAGTTTTAGGCCAGGATCTTCTGTGTCCATCCAGTGCCTAAAAGAATGAGTCTGCAATCTCCAGACACCTCCCTGGGGCCCTGGTGCAAATAAATCTCCCAAGAATAGTTCCTGTTATAGATACCAGGACAAGAAGGGCTTTATCAAAAGCGGTGGAGGCTTTTCTCTTATCTCGAGTGCTGTGCTGGGAGATGACAGCGTTGCCCTGGTATTATTAGTTGATATTGGTGACCTACATCCTAATTGCACAAGAGAGCACAGGGAGAGTCAAGGGGCTATTTGCTTTCTGGGTGAAAGTTGGGAGGATTATTCCATGGCCCCTTGAAAAGTAATTACAGGGTGTCCTTGCCAATTTGGAGCATCTGCTTTGTCACAAGTTGACTTGCAGCAATACCCCAGTGAGAAGGTCAGCAGGATAAATCTGTAAACTCCTTGGCAGTGTCTGACACCTGCTTAACCTGCTGCAGGTGATGAGACAGGCGAGCCTGGCTTCCTCCAGAGCTCGGTCACCTGGCCTGAGCAGTCCCACTGGGAGCAGAAAACTGTTCATTGGAACTGCTTCCCTGCTCTTTGCTTTCCCTTTGATACCTTTCGTGCACTGTGAAATAAATGTTTCTAACTAGTTTGAAGGAAGGTGTTGCTCTCCCCTTCTGGGTTAGTCTCCTCTGCTTGGGGCTGTGAAATGGGACGGATGTTTCTCTCACAAGGAAATTGCTGGAGTCCAGATGTGTGGGGTTTTTGGGTTTGGGGGTGGGAGATTGCAACTTTCCCAGCAGCAATCCTCTCTTGCTTCCCAAGCTCCCCAGTCTTACCCCTGTGGCCTCGAGTTCCAGTCTGTGCCCTTATCCACACTCACTGCTGCCTGCTTCCCCCTTTCCAGGAACCGGGCAAACGCCATGGAGGGCAGCGTGGAGGAGGTGCTGGGCAACCTGCAACGAGCCAACACCGTGCTGCTGGAGGCCCAGGGGGCCCTCAGGGGCTCGGGCTCCTCGTTGCGCTTCATCCAGGAGCGCGTGGAGGAGGCGAGTGATGCCTTCCCAGAAACCGCCCCGAGCCCCCGTGCGTGTCCCTCAGCCAGCAGAGCTGGGCCTGCACGGGGAGGGGTTCGGATGTGATCCCCCTGACCAGGCTCCCTCTGCTCGCAGATCGAGGCTGTCCTGGGGCCGGCAGAGAAGCACTTGGGGGCCGTGGGGCTGGGGCTGGCGGGGCTGGCAGGACGGCTGGCCCAGCTGCAGCACAGCNCACGGCAGGCCGGCAGCGTCCAGCAGGTACCGACCCGGGCTGTGCCCGCTGCCAGACCCAACAGGAGATCTCCTGTGCGGGTCACGGCTGCTGGGCTGTCAGGTCACAGCCTCAGGCCTCTGCTGAACTGCTCCAGAGCAATTCCCAATCCTATTCCCAATTCCCATTTCTGCTCCGTGTGCCTGAGGCAGAGCAGCTCGTGGAGCTGTCAGTCTTGGAGAGCACCACAAACTGTCACACGTTTGGTAACGGGGACAAAGCTCTGGTGCAGCATCCATTTCATACCTAAACAGGATTCAGCACTGGAAGTCCCCATTCTCTCTAGCCCTCTGGATCTCACCTGCAGTGTTTGTTTGTTTTTGGCCAGGCTTTTGCGCAGGTGAAGGAGCTGTACTCGGAGCTGCAGGGCAGGATGGAGCAGGGCCTGGCGCTGGGGGAGCAGGGCAGCAGGGTGCAGAGCATCGGCCGGGAGGCACAGGCTCTCTTCCAGGAGACCATGGGCATCATGCTCAGGATGCAAAGTAAGGCTCTCCCAAGCTCATCGTGCCCTGGGGAAGAGCTTGGGCTGCTGTGGTGTGATGAGGGGACAGGGAGGGGGTGGGATTTGGGCTGTAGCTGTGCCAGGAAATGGAGTTTTCAAGGGTGCCGCCATGGAGGGAAGCCCTGCCTGCAGTGCCACTGTGCTCCCCTTTTCCTCCACACACTCACTTCCATTTTTTGGCATTCAAAACTAATGGGAGTGGTGTTTTGGGGGTTGTTTAGAGGAGCAGAGAGAGTGCAGGATGTTGCTTTTCTTGCCCCATCAGAGCTGCGCAGGAGTGGGGTGGAGGCTCAGCCCAACCCCAGGATGTTAACCCTTCCCTTCCCTGGCCTCTCTCCTCAGCTTTAGAGTCGGAAATTCGGGAAGGCAACGAGGCTCTGGTGTCCAGGATGTCGCGGCTGTCGGGGCTGGAGGAGAAGGTGGGAAGGATCCGGGACAACATCAAGAAAAAAGTCGCCTTCTACGAGAGCTGCTCCTGAGCAGCCCCTGTGCTCCAGGGCATCGCTGCCTCCTCTGCACACACCGACTGCTGCTTTCATTCCCATTTCCCAGCTGCTGTGCTCCTCTGCCCAATATCCCTATTTTTAGCAAGTTAATTTTCCATACCTCTGGAAAACAGCTTCCCTGAACTACAGGAGCAACCCCATGGGGTGGGTTGGACTGGCCAAAGCTGCCCAGTGGTTGGAGGAAAAAGGGGAGAGACATCAGGCTCCCATGGCAAATAAACACATCCCCAGGTTGTTATTTCCACAGGGCTTTATAAACCAGGAAATTATTTTTTTCTTCTTCTAGCCAATTCAATCTTTAAGCTGGATTTCACTGTTCAAATTAAAGCCCTCCTGTGGGGTCTTCTAAAGCTTTTTATCTGTGCTGCAGTTAATGCTTCAAACATGCCATAGCTTCAGTACTTCCCTCAGAGATCTTTCTTCAAATAAGCAGATCAGAGAAATGGAGAATTTTATCTCCCTCTGTACAACATACCTATATTTATGCAAATTAGAGAAACACAGGCTCATAGTGGAAGGTGAAGTCAGATGTCTTGTTTGATTTTCTGCCACAATCTGCTTATTTACCACAGAACATTTTGCCAGAAAAACACCAGCGGGGGCAGGTCTGGGATGCTCAGGGAAAGCTTTAGGAGGGACTTAACAGACCATTTCCACATCAGATTTCTATGAATAAACAAGAGGCACTTTACAAAACAAATCTCAGCTTTATTAAGCAAGTGTTCATTGTGCAATCACAGCCTTGGAAGCGGAGCTCAGACCTTGCTGTGTTATTGTCAGACACAGGGAGGTTTCTTGCAGGTTGGTCTCAGTGAGGGCTGAGCAGCCTGGGCAGCTGAACTCGAGTGCCAAAGCCTGGGACTCCCCGAGGCCGAGGAGAGGGTGAGGGCTGTGAGAACCACGGGAGAGAAGCTCTGCATGGCTTTGGTTTATGGGGATGGTGTGCAGCGCATTTGTGCCTTGACAGCTCAGCAGGGTACAGAAAGCAGAAGCTCGTAGCACTGATGATGCTCTATGGTAATGTACACTGGGTGTGGGAGCAGGAGCCCCAGGCCTTCCCTCGCCTCCTCCCAGCTGGAATGATCCAGAAACACCCGAGCAGAGATGGATCCTGGCACTGCTGTGCCCTGTCCCCAGCTGGACACTGCTCTCCAGAGCTGCTGAAGGGGCAGAGCCTCCTTTCCTGCTCACACTGGCCGTGTCTGCCTCTGGAGTGCAGAAAAGAGTGAAAGAGCCCTTCTGGTTCTGTAAGAGAGAGAATTCCAGGTGAGGACTGGGCTTTGTCACTGCCCTGCTCCCTGCAGGCCAAGCTGCTAATGAGCCACAGTGGGGACAGGGACGGCTCCATCCCTTTGAGGGCTGCAAAGGTTGTCACAGCACTGAGGGTTGGAATGGGCCCCTCTGGAGTCTGGGGGGCTCTAACTCGCATTTGTCTCTGCTCTTCATCCTTTGTGCGTCGCAGTCCTGCTCAAACGAGCTCATCAGCAGAGACTGGCACAGGACATGAGAGGAGGGAGCTCACTTGATGTCGCTTTTGAGGAGAGGTCTGCCAGCAGGAGCTCACCTTTGGGATATTTGGATCTAACAGCAAAGCTTCTCGCTGCTCACATCCAAAGTGGTGCAAATGATAACAGGACTGAGCCAAGCTGTGGTCAAACAGGATCAAACCTGCATCGTTTTACTCTGCTTTACAAAACGAGCGTCTCTGGGCTCGGCTCACAAAGACATTCAAGCCTGCCTGGGCCAGGTCTGGGAAGGAGCTGTGCTGAGCTCTGGGCCTGCAGCTCTTGTCAGCCCCTTGCTCACAGCTGAGAGCTGGCTGAGCAGCCTCAGTTCCAGCTGAGGGACAGGTCTGCATCAGCATTTCCCCCACAAAGTCACTGTGGAGTTTGGTGTGACAAAACCCTGCCTGGCTTCCTCTCTCACGTTCCTGGGCAACCTCGAGGTGATGTTAAAGCTGGGTTCCAAGTCAGTGGCGTGGCCCTGATGGAAGCTGAGCTGACTCATTCCTGGAGAGGTGGAGAGTTTGGTTTTTTTCTCTTGCAAAAACCCGGGTTTGTTTATTTAATGTACAATCACTGTGCTATCTGTGCCTTTCCCTTTTGCCTGCCCTAATTGGATTAATTAAGAGCAGTTGATGATTGGATTGCAGGGCACTCACCTCTGACCATGTGGCTGCCTCCATCACATGATCAAACAAACTCCAGTTTGCCCAGTGCCACAGTGAGACGAGTGTTTACTGGTTTTCATTGGAACGAGAACCTCTGACTTGAAATGGCTGCTTGGGAATGCGTGAAGGGGAACAGAAAGAAAAGAAATAGCAATTATTTACAATCATTCTGTAGGGGAATTGTGGTGTCAATGTACAGAACATCAGCTGTGAGAGCAGAGCAGGGCTGGGTGCAGCCCCTGCAGCCAAGGCAGGCTCTGCTCTCAGCACATTGAACCACTGGTAACTTCTGGAAAAGCAGCGTGTTCCAGAGCCTGGGACACCCAGGACAGCCCTGGCTGGGCACAGCTTCCACCCAAACCAAGCACTGCTCATCCCTCCCCTTCTCCCTCCTGCTGGCTCCTGTGCCAGGGGTGGTCATTCCCATGCAGTTTGCTGGGAGTTCATGGCAATGACCTGGATACCTACTGGGATTTTGAAGATTTTTTCAGCAGCACTGTCTCGGAGCAGGAGGACACCTTTGTCTTCTCATGGCCCACACAGGAGGGGCTGCAGCCACAGGAGCTCCTGCCCGGGGGGCTGTGGGTGTCCGGCAGGGCCAGGCTGCTGTTCCCGGGCAGGGATCCTTCCTCCAGGGGGCTTGGCAGCTCTTCCTGCCCCATTCCCGAGTCCTGCTCGGGCTGAGAGGGTTTGGGTGGCTTTGGGTGCCCCTGAGAGGGGCCCTGCGCCGTGTCCTTGTCCTCGCTGGGTGCTGCTGGCAGGGGGGTCCCCGAGGGGCTGCTGGGCCTGGGGGGCTCTGAGGGCTCAGTGACAGGGACAGAGCCCTCGGCTGCCCCGTGGCCACTCATGTGCAGCTTCTTCATGTGGTGCACGACGGCCGCGGCGTTGAAGGCTTGCTGGGGATGAGACAAAAGCCCCAGTGAGCAGCTGGTGATGCCAGGACACTCTGTCCCCCCCAGGTGACACCAGGCACAGCTGGTGATGCCAGGACACTCTGTCCCCTCAAGGTGACACCAGGCTGCCAGCACTGACTGCTTGGGATGGGCACATTCCTGCCATTAACACCATGGACTGCAAGCTCCTTCCAGGGACACAGCTGGAAATGCCCCCCTGCCCTCTGCTCTCCTGGTGAGGCCCCTCGATGTCTGTGGTGGATCTCCCAGCTCACTGTGCAGCAGGGAACATTGCTCCAAACAGCCTGTGAGCATCAGCTGCAGGCAATGCCAGCTCTGGAGGATCCCAGCTTTTGGGTGATACCCACCCAGCTGAAGCCTGCTCAGCGCTGGCTCACAGCAACTGCATTTGTTGGAGAAATGGCTGTGGGCTCCCAGCAGCAGCCACTTACCCTCCATTTGCTCTTTGCGAAGTTTTTCTGGATCTGAGCGCTGACAGATGGGTAGATGTCACGGTGAAGGGCTGTATTTCCATTAATCCTGCAGATGGGAAGAGGAGAAAATGGGCTCGTAGGCAGATGGCATTTGTAAGGCATTCCACATTCTGGAAGCACTGAACTGCTTTGTACGTTCAATCAGCAATAATTAAACCCAAAGGAAAAACAGCAACAAAATGTAACACAAACACACACTTCAAAGCCTGGGAAAGCTCAGGGTGGGATTTCTCCCCTGCCTCTGTTTGTGGAGGCAAATATGCACAAATTGCATCTTTAATTATTCATCATTTGCTTGCTTTGCACACGAGGAGCCAGCCCAGGAGCGCGGGGGAGGCGGTGACGTTAATGATGGGGTGGGGACACTCCTGATGCTGGGGACACTCCTGATGCTGGGGACACTCCTAATCCTGGGGATGCTCCTGATCCTGGGGATGCTCCTGATCCTGGGGACACTCCTGATGCTGGGGACACTCCTGATCCTGGGGATGCTCCTGATGCTGGGGATGCTCCTGATGCTGGGGATGCTCCTGATCCTGGGGACACTCCTGATCCTGGGGACACTCCTGATCCTGGGGACACTCTTGATCCTGGGGATGCTCCTGATCCTGGGGACACTCCTGATCCCTGGGACATTCCTGATCCTGGGGACACTCCTGATCCCAGAGATGCTCCTGTTCCTGGAGACACTCCTGTTCCCTGGGACACTCCTGATCCCAGGGATGCTCTTGTTCCCTGTTCCCAGCACATGGAGCAAGAGCTGGGGGCTGCAGAATCCCCGTGGCCACCCCGAGCCTCACCACGGGTGCCTCAGGGCCTCCTCACAGGTGAACCTCGCGCTTGGGTTCTTCTCCAGTAAATGCCGGATGAAGTCCTTGGCTGTTTGGGAAAGGGGGAAAAAGCAGAGAGAGGTTATCTCCTTCTTCTTCTTCCCAGAGCTGATCCTAACAGAGCCTGGGAAATGCTGCTGGAGCCCTGAGGAGAAAGGCTTTGGTATCACTGCACCAGGAGAGGTTCAGGTTGGATATTGGGAAATATTCCTTCACTGAAAGAGTGGCCAGGCACTGGAAGGGGCTGCTCAGGGCAGTGGTGGAGCCACCATCCCTGCAAGTGCTCAAAAAATGAGTAGATGGTGATGTGGTTTGGTGGGCGTGGTGGGATTCAAAGGCTGGACTTCATCTTGGAGATCTTTTCCAACCTTAATAATTCTGATTACTCCAATAGAGGAAGATTCTTATAGTGACAGGCTCCAGATGAAAAAACAGCAACTCTGAATGTACCAAACTTCAGTCTTAGATTGTGTGAATTGGAGTTGAATTATTCACCTAAAAAGATAACCCTAAAAAGCCATGAAGTGCAGGCTGAGCAGATTTAGAAGTTGCCCTGAAGAGCTCTTACATCTCTCCCCTTTTTTTCCCCTTTGTTTTTCTTGCAGGAAGGATTGTGATGTTTGTTATTAAACCCCAGCACACCCCCTGCTAGGTCTGTTTGTTTGTTTGTGTAAAAGATTGATGTTGAAATAAGCCGTGAGGATGCTGCCTGCAGGGAGCTGTGCACAGGGGAGCTCCACGAGCAGCTCAGCTGGTGAAGTGGTGGCTGACAGGACAGAGGGAAAAAATGGGGAAAAAACCTCAGTTTGCCTTCTTAGAGAATTCCAGAATGGTTTGGGTTGGAAGGAGCCTTAAAGCACCAGCTGCCATGGGCAGGGACACCTCTCACTGGCCCAGGAGGCTCCAAGCCCAGCCTGGCCTTGGGCACTTCCAAGGGAAATCCAGGCCCCCTCAGTGATGATTTGTGAAAATCAGGGTTATGGTAACCACGCCTCAGCTGAGGGGGCTGCGTTCCAGGCACCCCCTCTCTGCCAGGGCAGCTTGGCTTTGGCATCACCCCCTGATTTATCATTTATAATTTCTTCTCCTGGAGGAGATGGAGCCTCTGATCACCCCCACATCCGAGCTGTGTGAGGGGCTCAGGTCTGAGCTCCAGCCCTCCCCAGCCCTGGGGGAGCTCAGGGCGTTCAGGGCTCGGGGGATTTGGGATGGGTGGGAGGGGGTGTGGAGCTTCCCAGCCCCAGAGCTTTACCTGACTCGGAGATATCGTCCCAAAACGGAGACTCGAACTCATAGTAGCCTTCTTTAATCTTCTCAAAGAGTTTGGATTCGGTTTCTTCATAGAAGGGGGGGTACCCACAGAGGCTGGAACAGAGCAGAGAGCTGGGGCCCTCAGTGCCACCGTGAGCAGGCACAGCCTGTGGAGCTGCCCACTCCTCACTGCTCAGGGCATCAGCAAATCTGATTTAACAAAGAGTTAAAACTTCACTGCAGCAGCGAGGGGACAAAGCCACAGCTGGTACCGAGCTGAGCAGTGTGGGAGGAAACGAAACAAAAAGTACCCAGGAAGATGGAATGGTATTTGGAGAAAAACAAAGCATAGGATGAGGCACAGAACAAACGCAATTCCTTTCATCCGCGCTCCCGATTCCCCACATCCCTTTAATTCCTGTGCTTAGGAGGAACTGGCTGCTGTGCCCCACAGAAAAAGGGGAGGTGGAAACAGGAGAGCTCTGGGGTGCTGCTGGATCCTACTCACAGGATGTAGGTGATGACCCCGATGGACCAGCAGTCCACGGCTTTGCTGTACGGCTTCTGCGCCAGCACCTCGGGGGCTGCGGGACAGCAAAACCAAATTCTGATTTCAGTTCAAAAATGGATCCTCCAGCCCTGGGAAAAGCAGGACTTTCAGCCCCATCTCCCAGCTGAATTGGTCTGAGGTTATTGTGTCTTTTTTATGCCATTGTATGGAAAGAACCACAGACAATCTCTGCCTGCATGCTGAGGTTTAACCAGGGAGCTGCATCCACCCAGTGCAGTCTGGTGCAATGAAACAAAATCCCATTGCATTAAAATATTGTCTATAATTCCTTCAATAAACATTGATAATGTAAATTTAAAAATATCTATTAATATAATAGGCAAATTATTGCCCTCAGAATTACCCTTTTCTTTGCATTTTTGAAATATTGAGATTTTTCAGTCCCTACACTCGCCTATGTGCAGTGCATCTGTGAGTCCCACGTTATTAAACATACTGATTATTTCCTCCCCTTCTCCCAGGCAAAGTCCTGGATGTGCACAAGGTTTTTTCCAGGAAATCCACCTCTCCTGCCCCTTGGCTCACCCACATATCCTGGAGTCCCACAGGCCGTGGACATGATCCCGTTCTGCTCCATTTTGGACAGGCCGAAATCCGTGATCATGATTTTGGAGTTCTCCTCGGGGGTGAGGTACAGGAGGTTCTCAGGCTGTGAACAGGGTGGGGTGGTCACAGGGGGAGGGAGAGGAGCAGGAGGGGCAGAGCAGGTGACGATGGAAGGGGACAGAGCCAGGGCTCACCTTCAGGTCCCGGTGCACGATGCCGTTCTCGTGCAGGTATTTCACAGCTGTCAGCACCTGGTGGATCACCAGGCTGGCATCCTTCTCTGTGTAAACGCCCCGCTCCAGGATCCTGTCAAACAGCTCTCCCCCAGACACCCTGTGGGGAGAGCAGCTTAGAAAAGGACTGGACAAAACGTGAACAGAGCTTTTGTGTTAGCCCAGCTGAGTTTCTGGTCCTTTTACAGCAGCTTTTGGGAGGCTGAGGCTGCTGGATGCTCCTGGGTGTGATTCCAGGCTGCCAGTGAGGATTGCTGGAGCCTGGGAAATTTGGGTGAGGTTGTGAGGCAAGTTCAGGTAGGGCTGAGCTGCAGGTACCCAGCCCTGCCTCAGGCTGCACTCCACAAGTGCTACAGGGCTTTGTTCTTGACTAAATTTGCAGTTAAGCAGCAGCAGCAGCCGGGTGCTCAGAGCTCCTTCTCTGCTGCTGACACGGTGCCCATTCCATTTCTAGAAACCCTGCGTGGCACAGCTTTAATTAGAAATACTTCTGTCTCTGCCCTGCTAAACTGTGAGGAATTCATTTGCATAAATAGATCCAAATCATGGTTCAGAAAGTTGCTGTTAGGATGGGGATGGGGCAAGGTGCCTCAAGGAGCGTCCAGGTTGGTTCCAAGCTCGGCACTGAGGGTGTTTGGACGGCCCTTGAGGGGCTCTGGGTGCAGGTGCTGGAACCTCAGCCTCACCCTGCTCCTGCCCTGTCCTTCCTGTGGCCCCAGAGAAATGGCTCTGCTGGTACTCACAGCTGCATCACCAGGTAGAAGTGGGTTGTGCTCTCATAAATATCTTCCAAAGTCACAATGTTTTCGTGCTTTATTCTGCAAAGGGAAATGTGGGTCAGAAACAAATCCTGCCAAGGACAGAAGGGGCTTCTGAGGTGGAAAACCCAGCAGTCATCTTGCTTTAATCACCAGGGAAAGCTCACTGGGGTGTTCTGGGGCTGCTGTCCCTCCCCCTGCGTGGCAGAGATCACTGATGCTCATCCAATTCCTTTTGGAGCAGCAGGCACCATCAGTGGGGGGACCAGCACATCAGGAATGATCCTTTTTAAAGCACCCAGCACATCAGGAATGATCCTTTTTAAAGCACCCAGCACATCAGGAATGTTCCCTGGCCTGTCACACTCACTTTTTCAGCACTGCTATTTCGTTCTCCAAGCTGCTGTCCCTGTTGAGAGGAGACTTCTTGATGCATTTCAGAGCAAAGAGCTTGCCAGTGCTTTTCTGCTTCACCAGGAAAACTTCAGAGAAGGCACCTCTGCAGAGAGGGGGAGAAGCTGCATTTCAGAGGGTGCTGCTGCATTTCAGGGGGTGCTGCTGCATTTCAGGGGGTGCTGCTTCTGGAAATGGGGAGGCACTGACAGGGAAAACAACTTTAGAGAAAATGTTAATTGTGCACAGTCCAGCAGGGAGCTGCAGCTTGGGTTGGTGTCACCCAACATTCTGCACGTCTAAAATGCAAAACAGCAGGAGGACCCCAGTTAATGTTTGAATTCAGCCTCTGATTGTTCTCCTGGCTGCAGAGGCTGCTGCTCCCTCGGTGCCAGGGTGGCAGTGAGTGGCTGCTCCCCCCTGAGCAGCTGGAGCAGGTATTTATAACCTGCCTAAATCCCCAATCCTGTTCCAGCTCTGTCCTGGGGAGCTGAGCATGAGGCTCAGGGCAGTGACAGTGACACCGGGCCAGTCCTCACTAATCCTCATCAAACCAGCAGCTCATTAATTGGGGCCATGAAACGGGACCTGCTCTGAGCCTGCCAAGCCCTGCAGGGAGCTGAGGGCAGGGCAAGGAAGGGCAGTGCTGTGCACCTGGGGGAAGGTGATAACACCTTGCAGGTGGTTTTTAGTCCCAGATCTTCATTTCAGTTCTTCAGAGAGCTGAAGCAATGAATGTGGGGAAAAAAAATCCCAATTTCTAATGCCAAATTTTCCTATTAAACAAATAGGAAATGAACAACCTACAAATCAGCTGCTGGGGCATCTGTTCTACATCTCTGTCCTAAACAGTTTATAATAATTATGCCCCTTATTAAAAATGATGAATCAACAAGTGGGCTAGGAGAGAACAAAGCTTTTGCTAACCTCATTCCTTTAGCGAAAGCTGCTGGATAATTCAATTAATCTCTGGGGCTGACAAGGCACAGAATTTGGAGTAGCTGCTTCTTTGGGAGCTCTGTCGTGGGCTCGGAAGTCACAGAAAATTTGTCCATGACAGAACTCACTGGTGGAGGTAATTCAATTCCTCCCCCAGCACCTTGGAAATGTTTTGTTGTCTCATCCCCATGAATAGGCAAATTAAGCTGTTAACGCACAGGGAGGGATTGTACAACTCCAACATCCTTGTTTTTGTTTCATTCCCCAAGTGAGTCAGGGCTCCTGAGCTAAATATACAACTCGTTATTGTAACTCCTCTGCTGCGCCAGCCCCTGACCTTGCGGGAGTGGGGCAAAATCCTCCTGCTCCGAGGCTGCCTGGGGGTCAGAGGGGATGGAGGGAAGGGCAGGGGCAGCTGGGGATGGAGAGAAGGGCAGGGGCACCTGGGGATGGAGGGAAGGACAGGGGGCACCTGGGGATGGAGGGAAGGGCAGGGGTACCTGGGGATGGAGGGAAGGACAGGGGTACCTGGGGCTGTGCCTGGGGATGGAGGGAGCTTTGGGAAGGGTGAGGCAGGAATGGCAGCAGCAGATCCTGGGACCCCTCAGTGCTCCTGGCCTGGGTCCCTGGGACACTGGGCAGGGCCAGGAGGGCCTGGGCAGCCGGGGCTGGGCTGCTCCTGCCCGGGGACAGCTGCTACTCACGATCCCAGGGCCTCCATGAAGATGAAGGTTTTGCGGATGTTGCTGGTCTGCTTCTTCCAGGAGCCGCTGCCATCCTCTTCCTTGCACCCCATCTCCTCCAGAGTGGAACTGGGGAACGCTGGGGAGAGGAGGAGGAGGAGGAGAGGTCACTGACATGGTCTGTGTTGGGAGAAAGCCCAGCACACCCCAGTTAGAGCTGGAATTAGAGCTGGCCACGGTCTGGGAGGTGTAAAATGCTCCACAAACCCCTCAGCATCGTAATGAGATCGGGTCTAAGGACTGGAGGGAAACTGGAAGGTGAAAAGGAACCTGGAAACAAGGGAAAAATAGATATAAAAGTGACCCTGGGCAGCAGGGGCACGGGGAGCATCCCTGGATGTGTGGAGCATCCCTGGATACGTAGAGCCTCCCCTTCCCAGAGCAGGAATGAAGCCAAAGGCTGTGGGACACAGCTGAGCCTTCAGAAGACAAAGCAAAAGCTTTCATGGATGTTTTTCATCCCTTTGGAAAAGGCAGAAGTATTAAAGCAGAGAAAAAGCTGAAAGGTCTTTTTTCATGAGACAGCTTAGATATTGGATTCCTCCTGAACCTACTTTATCTCCTTAATTAGCACGTTTGCAGGGTTTTCAGCTCCTTGACACAATTTTTAAAGGTTAATTTAACATTATTGAAACCAAAATTGACTCAATTGTAAACAGTTGAAGGCTTCAGTCCATAAAAATCACCAAAGGCCTCATGAACTTGACCTTTATTTACCTCTTGGTTTCTGAAGCTGTGTACCTCACAGAAATACAGCTCCTTCTAGAACCCAGCCATATCTTGCTGTTTGAAATCAGGGAAGGCCAAAAGTCCTTCACAAGAATACTGATCAATCAGTAGAAACCTTTCTGACAATTATTTTAAGTCCCTGGAGGATGTTTTCTTTACAGTCACCTGCCCATCCCAAATCCACAGATCTGAAATATCACAGAGAGAGAATTTGCTGGCTGAGACATCCAGCTGGTGATGGCAGGTGAGTTTTATCCACTTCAAATGAATGTCAGACCTGGCAGGGTGGGAAAACTGAGAGGAACTCTCTGTTCCTCTCCCAGGCTGCTGCCAACCAGAGGATACAAGGTGAAAAAAGAGAAAAAAAACCCCAAGTAGGTCAGGCTGGCCCTGGGGACAAGTGGCATTTTGGGCTCCTGTGCTGAAGCACGTCCTGGTTGGGGCCAGCTCCGTGGGACAGAGGGAACAGGGCAGAGAAACCCTGGTGCACTGGGCAGAGGTGACTGTCCCCACCATGGCACTGGGGTGATGCACACCCAGCCCTGAGTTTGGCCCCTTCGAGCCCAAGGGTTAATTTTGCCCAATCCTGGCTCATTCCAGCTCCATTCCCGGTGTGTTTTGATGTTTAATTCCTTGTGAATTCAACAAGTTCCCTATTTTAGGGGGAATTTTGCTCCCAAGGGAAGGTAGTACCATGTTTTCCTCCTTCTCCTGTGAATCATCTGCTCGTCTCAGCGTGCTCCTGCTGTCACTCGCTGTGTGGCACTCGGTGCTGGGGACAGGCTGCCTGAGCAGCTCTCACTCCCTACACGTGGATTTGATTTCCTGCCTTCTCAGTTCTTCTGTGCCATCATCAGCAAGTCATTTCCTGCCTGCCCTCGCCTCTCTGCGAGGAAGAGGAGTAAATGCTGCTCTTCTGAGAGCAGAATAATGGAATGTTTGAGTTCCTGAGATGTTCAGCTGTGGGGGGTGGAAGGGAATGGTCTTTAAGGCCCCTTCCAGCCCAAACCATCCTGGGGTTCCACAGTTGCTCAGGTGAGGGACTCTTGCCCTCTTTGCTCCTGTTGGATCACATCCTTCCCCGTGGCTTTTCCTCCTCTGGCACAAGAGTTTGCCAAGGGCTTGGTGCAGCACACAGAGGCCTCTTGGTCCAGCCACAACTACGGCATCGGGAGAATGAGAATTCCCGGAGTCTCTGGGAGCTCAGCTTTGTCTCTCACTCTGGTTAAATCACCTGTTGCACTTCACAGCAATGTTTGATGGATTTCTTGTTTGTCTTTTATTATTTATTCAAGCTCTGGTGCAACAATCCCAAAACCCCAGAGGAGTTTGGGTTGAAGGGACCTGAAAGCCCCTCCAGTGCCACCCCTTCCATGGCAGGGACACCTCCCACCATCCCAGGCTGCTCCAGCCCCAGTGCCCAGCCTGGCCTTGGGCACTGCCAGGGATCCAGGGACAGCCCCAGCTGCTCTGGGCACCCTGTGCCCTTCCCAGTGCCCTCAGCTGTGCCAGGGCTGGGATGTGGATGTCCGAAACCCGGCTTTGTGGATGGGCTCACTCAGCTGCTCCCTCCTGCCCCACAGGAATGGGAACATGGCACGAGTTGGGCAAACACCTGGGACTGGCAGCTTGCCCTGCTCTGTGTCCACCTGACACTGCCACCCCTGCCGTGCCCTCCTTCATCCCAGCCCCATCCTGACCCTGTCCAGATGTGCCTGGGGACACATCCCAGCCTCATCCTGACCCATCCCAGCCCCATCCTGACCCTGTCCAGATGTGCCTGGGGACACATCCCAGCCCCATCCTGACCCCATCCAGATGTGCCTGGGGACACATCCCAGCCCCATGCACACACAGGCACCGCTGGCCCCTTGGAATTCCCATTATTTTCAGCCCTGATCCCAAAGGGGCTGCGGTGCCCCTTTGCCCGTTCACCTCCCGGCAGTGCAAGCACCCCGGGGGCGCCAGGGTTGTGTAATGAGATTAAAAAGCTCATTAATTAATGCAGGTGAGAACCTCTGGAGCTGAGAATGGAGTGCATAGCACGGCTTTAATTTGTGGATCTTCCCCCTGCCCCACCACAACAAAGCCAGCAGCACTCAGGGTTCGGCTGGGTTTGTGTTCCAGACAGAAGAGAATAAACAAGTTTGATATCAATGTCTGACCTACAGCCTGAGCCAACAAACTGCTCTGCTCTGTCTGATCCAGCTCAACGCTGCTCAGAGCACAGGGGATGTTGTTATGACCTTGCTCAAGTCTTTCCCGAGGAAATTTGTTCTGTTTCCACATCCCACGGCAACAAACCCGTCTGCAGCCAGACCCTGCTTCTGAATGGGGGCTCTGCATTAGCAGAATGATCCTAAGTCATGATTAATGGTCTCATGACAAACTTCCATGTGCAGGGGGAACGTGCAGCTTTCAGGGGCTTGCCTTTGGAATTAGAAGTTTATAGGGGAAAAAAGGAGAATACAAATTCAAAGGGCTTTGATTAAAAAAAATAAAAATAAAAATAAAAATACAGCAAAGCAAGCAAACGTGCATGTGGATGAATGAATGAACGAATGAATGAATGAAGTGCCAGGGCAGCATCGTGGTCAGGGACAAAAGAGCAAGGAATTGAAAGCACGAGCTCGCCATTAAAAACAAAGCCACGTCAAAGCTCCTGTATTCCCCCCGCCACACCATCCCTTCCCAGGCAACTTGGGCAAAATCTCCATTTTCATTATAAATACCCCAGATCCCCTAAAATAGTTTGGGTGTAAAATGCCAGAGCCAGCTTTCTATGAAACTGCTGGACACAGCACGAGTGCAGGGAGGAGAAGTCCTCCGGTGTCTCCCTGCCTGAAGATGAAACCCATCTGAGAGCAGAGCAGGTGAGCAGGGACCAGGAGCAGCAGAGGCTCGGAAGGAAAGGAGATTTTGCTTACCCCAGTCAGCACAGACAAAGCAACTCCTGCTGGCTGCCGGCGCTCAGCTCCCGGTCTGCGGGGATTAGAGCTCGCTGAGGAGGAGGAGGAGGAGGAGGAGGAGATGGAGCCCGGAGCTGGTGAGCAGGGAGCCCCCAGGGCCCCGGGGATGGCACAGCAGGGCTGGGGGTCCCAGCGGGCTCAGGGATGGAGCTCGGGGCGCAGCGGCCGCTCCTCGCCCGGCTCGGCACTGGCACAGCCCAGGTGGACACAAATAGAATCTGCCTTCATCAAACACACGGCTCCTAGGCTGGGGAAACCGCCCCGTTCTCTTGGGATGGCGCTGGGAGCCGGGGGCTGGGATGGGGACTCCCAGCAGGAGCTGCAGCCCTGGCAAGGGGATGCTCCTCAGTCTGCAAACAGCACAAAGCCATGGGAACCATCCCCGAGCAGGGCTGGATCTGCACACCCCGGCTCGGGGATGTTTTACCCCACACAATGGCTCTATTCCGACTTCCCAAACCTCCCTGGGAGTGCCTGCTCAAGCGCAGCACGTATGAATAGAGGAAATATTAATAATTCTTTCAACCTTTTCTACAGTGTGGGATTTTTACAGCTGGCAATAACAACTTTACTGACTGCATTCTCAGTTGATTTACACTGCCATCTAGAATAATGCATGGAAAGAGTCCATATCATTGTGAAGTTTAGTTTTATGTCAGGAATAAATCAGCTCTGAGGCAACACTTGAGAACCACATTCTCCTCCTCAATCTCTTTTCCCTCAGCACCTTGGTTCCAAGGCAAAGGCTCTTTGGTGCTCCTGTCTTGGCTCCATCTCTGGGATCTCCCCTGGGATTTTGGTCAGGATTCCTGGCTGTGCCTGTGAATGTGCAGCTTTCCTTTAGTGCAAGGTTTTGGTGGAATTTGGGTTTTTCACCTGTGGGGTGAGGAGGAGCCGTTCCCACTGCGGGGGGAGACACTGGAGTGATGTGAGAGCTTAATTAGGGGTGTTTGTTGGGGGGGTTATTTGGTTTATTAGAGGGGTTTATTAGGGGGTTTATTTGGTTTATTAGGGGAGTTTATCATGGGGGTTTACTGGGGGGTTTATTAGGGAAGTTTAATAGGGGGTTTATTAGAGGGGTTTTTTAAGGGAGATTTTTAGGGTTTATTAGGGGAGATTTTTGGGGATTTTTGGGGGTTTATTAGAGGGGTTTATTAGGGGGGATTTTTGGGGTTTATTAGGGGAGATTTGGGGGATTTATTAGGGGGGATTTTTAGGGTTTATTAGGGGAGATTTTTGGGTTTATTAGGGGAGATTTTTGGGGATTTTTGGGGGTTTATTAGAGGGGTTTATTATAGGGGTTTATTAGGGGATATTTTGGGTTTATTAGGGGATATTTTGGGTTTATTAGGTGGGATTTTTGGGTTTATTAGGGGGGATTTTGTGGTTTATTAGGTGGGATTTTTGCAGTTTATTAGGGGGTTCACAGGGTGCTGGGGTGGTTTGGAGGAGCTCAGGGCACAGGTGAGGAGCACAAAGGGGAGCTGTGACAGCCCTGGGTGCCCACGCCTCGCCTCGCTCTTGCAGAACCCGCTGCAAACGTGTCACAAATCCCCGAGTGCAGCAGGGCCCTGCTGGGCATCACCAGCACTTGGAGGAGGAACAAACATCGCTGAGAAAAAGGAAGGAGAGCAGAGCTCTTCGGCTGCAGCATTCCCACATCGCCAGAGCTCGGAGCTCGGCCTCCAGAAAATCTCAGAGAAAAACACCAGCACCTGCAGGAGTGAGGGGGAAGAGGGGGAAGAGCTCCCCTGAGGGCTCTGCTGGGCAGGAATCGATGGAGATGGTGGCTCCTGACCTTGCCTGATGGAAATCTGGGACAGCAGCAACGCAGTTCAGGGACTTGTGCTGAGCTCTCCGTGGGCTCGAGCTAAAATAGCAGTTATTAACCAAAAACAGCCGAGAAAGAGGCACTGCTGGCTCTGCTGGTGTGAATCAGACTGAGGGGGTGTGAGGGAAGCAGCAGAATGTTCAGCACAGCAGCTCCTCTGCCCGGGGTCAGCTGCTGTTATCCCCATCCCTGGGCAGGAGCACCTGCAGCACGCCTGGGAGCTTTGGCAAAGAGTGGGGAAAGGAAAGAAACATCCCCTGAGTGTCATCAAAAAGATGGAGAGGGACTTTTTATAGAGGAGGGAAGATTTAGAGTGGGTGTTGGGAGGGAATTTCTCCCTGGGAGGGAGGTGAGGCCCTGGCACAGCTGGGGCTGCCCCTGGATCCTGGCAGTGCCCACGGCCAGGCTGGACAGGGCTGGAGCAGCTGGGACAGGGGAAGTTGGAAATAAATGATCTTTAATATCCCTTGCCACCCAAAGGCTCTGTGAGAGGGGAACAGGGCCCTGTGCCATGGGGACATTTCCCACAGGATTTCCCTGGGGGGTTTCAGGAGCAGGATTTTGAGTCAGGACACCCTGGAGGAAAACACAAACAACCAGAGAGAGCAGGGCTGGGGCTTTGCTGGGCTCAGGGGTGCACTCCTGGGTCTGGCTCCAGCACAAGGGCAGCCCCAGCACCCTGGGGATGTGGGTTACTGGTAATGCTCGCCCTTGATGCCTCTGGAGGTCTTTCCCAAGCTGAATCACTCTGTGACTGTGTGCCAGGGTCTGGGGCAGCCCTGCCGAGCTGGAGCATCCCAGGAGCTCCGGGCTGGTGCCAGCAGAGAGCACTGCAGCACAACACAACCACTGGCCTTGGGAGCAGGAGGAAAACAGCCAGGAAAAGCCCTCGTGAAAAGAAGAGTTGTAAGAACACGAGTGATGCAGCTGGGATGTTCAACAGCTGCCCAGGGGAAGTTATTGTAGCAGAACTCTGAAAGAATGTGCGCTTCAATAACACATTCTTCTCAGTCTGGAAGCATTATTTGCTTTTCTTTGTTGCCCTAAACCAGGGGTTCTGTAAAGCAGGGAGGCTCCTTCATTCCTGGCGTGGCTGGGAAGGAGCTGAGGTGGGTCTGGGTGCTGACTCTTCGAGTCTACATCGTCTCTACTGGAAAGAGCTGCTCTTTCTCCCCAGGCTTTATTTTTAAAACTTCAGTGGATAAATTGGTGAATGGGTTACCCAAGGAACTCAGTCTCAGGTTTTGCACATTCTCCTTAACCTGGGAATTCTGGTCCTGGAAATACATGGTAACCATTCATTTAAAAATGGCAAAGAATCATGTAATTAGCTCCTGATGAGCACTACGGTTAATTACCCTATTCAGTGGCACATTTACTGCACAGCTTCATTATCTGTCCCTAAATAATTCCATCCATCTCTGGTGTCTCCACCATTTCCATAGAAAAGTGCCTTTCTGGGACACATCCCAACCCCTGCACCATCCCAAAATTTCCCAGCAGTCAGGTTTGGGGGCTTGGGGCTGCGTTTCTCCAACCTCAGCGACTTTTGCTCCACACGAGGAGAGGCTGAGTGAGCCCCCTTGGCCATCCTGCCTGGAATCCCAGCCTCACATTCCCAATCCACAGAGTTCTGACAGTTCATACCCAGAGCTGACTAAGAGGAAGCCAATTAGGAACCTAAAAGGGCCTTTCATTAGCCTTTTGAAAAATCGGCTGCTAATTATGCAGGTTTGAATAGATGTTTACTCGAGGGGTTAATTACGCATCCGTGAAGAGCAGAACTTCATTTGGTGCATTGGGGAGGCTCAGGGAGCTGCTGCTGGCTGTGGGAGCCTCGGGGGGTTCATCCCCTGCAGCCCTGGGAAGGGCAGAGCCCATGGGGAGCAGCCAGAGCTGGGCTCTGCTGGGCTTTGCTTTCCCTCTGGGCTGCTGGGTCTGCACCAAGGGCAGCTCCCAGCCCTGTCCCCAGGCTTTGGGATTCCCTGGAAACCTCCTCTGGGAGCAGGAGCACAGCAGGAATGGAACTTCAGCACCTGCAGAGGTGCCTGCTCTGCCTGGGGACACCTCCCTGCTCTCTGCTCCCACTGCAGAGAAGGTCCAGGGCTCCAGTTGTTACAAAGAAGACAACAGGAGCAATGGAATCCAGAATTTCCAGAGCCATTCCCTTCATCCCTTGTGATTTCTGTTAAAACCCAGACCTATTAAGGCATTCCCAGCAAAAGAAATCTTTCAGGATGCTGCAATCTGCCCGAAAGACTTTTCCAGGAGCAATTTTTCTTTGTCAGCTTATTGTGAGCAGTAAATAATCAAGGAGATAAGTGTACTGTAGAATTTGGTTTGGGGAAGAATCCAGTTGGATTTCTCTGGGCCTGTCTCATACAGGATTATGCGTGTTTCTGTTCAGCTTTTTCCCTCCCGGGCCACATTGCAGCTTTAAATCACTTTTTCTATTTTATCTGTGATTACAGGCTTAAGAGCACGAGGGGAAAAAACCCCTCCTGTAAGAGATACACCAACACTATCTTGATCTCTGGTGCTTCTCAGCAGGTTCTAAAGAATTTGGGACAAGGAGCGAGAGAGGAGCCCTGGTGGCTGGGGAGGAGGAGCAGGCACAGAGCAGCAGGACCAGGGCTGCTTTCTGCAGTGTTTGTTTTGCTTCCCGAGTGATGACAAGCGAGGAAACAAGAGCTGAATTTCACATCTGCTCCAAAGACTCCTCTTACTCTCTGCAAGTAGCCAAAACATATCAGGAGTTGGGAAGACAACACGTCGGAGGGATTTGTGCTTTTTTTTCATCAGCTTGTGGGAAAAGTGGAAGCGAGATGACAAAACATTTCATGAGCAGTCACAGAGTCCGTGTCCCGGCGTGTGGGAGAGCTGAGGCACACAGGGCTTGCCTGACACTGGGATCTGCATCCAGCAGCCCCTGTGGAGCCCTGGAATTCCCTGCTGGAATTCCCTGCTGGAATTCCCTGCTGGAATGTCTGTGCTGTCCTGGCTGAGCACTGGGAGAGCTCCCTGGCCTCAGCTGCAGGTGGGATGGACGGGAGCTGTGGGGAAGAGGAGGCTGCAAGGAGAGCCCAGAGCACCTGGAGGGGTCTCAGGACACCCAGAGAGGGACCCTGCCCCAGGAGCTGCAGGGACAGGACAGGGACAGCGGCTTCACACTGAACAAAGGGAGATTTAGGTTGGATGTGGGGAAGAAATCCTTCCCTGGGAGGGTGTGGAGGCCCTGGCCCCGAGCAGCTGCGGCTGCCCCATCCCTGGAGGTGCCCAAGGCCGGGCTGGAGGGGGTTTGGAGGAGCCTGGGACAGTGAGAGGGGTCCCTGGCCGTGACTCCCCCCATGGCACAGAGGCTCAGGCTGCACAGAGCTCTCTGCTCTGCTCTCTGCTCAAACCCTTCCCAGCTCCTGATGCTGCTCTGCCTCTCCCAGGGGGATGGATTTCCCCAGGGCCGAGTCCTGCTCAGCCAGAGTGGCCATTACAGCCCAGAAACCTCAGCTTTGCTTTGGAATATTTCCTCCTTGTGCAGAGGATTTGCCACAGGATGGCTCCTGCCGTGGCAGGAGGAGGAGGAGGAGGGAGGCTTTCCTGGGATGCTGTGGGGACTGTGCCCACCTCCAGCCCCCCGTGCAGCTCGTCCTGCCCATGAAAT